ATAGATAGATAGATAGATAGATAGATAGATAGATAGATAGATAGATAGATAGATAGATAGATAGATAGATAGATAGATAGATAGATATTGTTATAATTGTTATAACCACGATTTTTAAAGTAGACTTCACCATCGGATTAATTAAATGTATTTCGGGATTTTCATTCCTAAGTTTGTGGCTTTGGCATAAGTGAACATGTCATATTAAGTGAAATGTTACTATATTCAGACAAACGAAAATTATACATTATTTACTGATGGCGAAAACAACGGGTCCATTTTCATTTAAAAAAACCCACCAAACTACCCTCTCTCTCTCTCTCTCTCTCTCTCTCTCTCTCTCTCTCTCTCTCTCTCTCTCTCTCTCTCTCTCTCCCTCTCTCTGTGTGTATCTGTGGGTATTAGCTAGTCTCTCTTCGCCTTTAGGCAATAGACAATAGTTTGATTTGATTTCCATGTGGGTAAAAACAGTCCATCAAATGTCTCCTCCTTTATGCTGAAAAACTGTATCCCACTTTGTCTTGAATTGGCTCTGACTGAAAAAAATGAAGCAGCCCGCCTCCTAAACGTTCTAGATTGTGTCGATCGAGGCGTGCAACATGTACTTTCATAGAAGCAATTAGACGGGAAAGTTAACAACACTCGTGTGTTAAAGTATTCGAGGAGGGTTCTTACTGTTGTCACATTGTCATAGACTGTTTTCTCTCAGCCTCATGTCTGGTACTGATATTCAGTTTTAGTAAGAATTTTACGGCACTTGCAACTCAATAAGGCCACAAAAGTCCCCAACATTAAAGGCGTTACAAGCGAGTAGCAAGACACAAAAAAGAAGGAGGGGGGATAAGGACGATAGATGTTCAATAAGAGAGAAAGAGCAAACCACACCAGAGCACGCGCCAACCAATAATAGGTAACGATATAATGAGTCACAGCTCCGGGACTGGCATCTGAGGTGTAGTGGTTCAAGGCTTCCCTGTCACACACAGAAGACCCGGGTTCGATTCCCAAGTGGGGAGAAATTTCAACATCTCGATCCTTCTGTTGTGATGTATCCTTCGAAGTCCGGCTTGGCCGTGGGAGACAAGGACAGAAGACTGCCTACTAAATGATTTAAACTGAACTGATGGGAGTGTAAAAGCACCTACATTGTAACAAACGAAACGAAAAAAACAAAACAAATGAAATCAAAACAAAACAAAACAAAACAAAATACAAAACAAAACAAAAAAGAACAGAACAGAAAACGTCTTTGGAAAGGCTTATCATCTTTTTTTTGGTAAGTGTTTTACGGCGCTCGCAACTGCATAAGGTCATATGAGCGCGCGGGACACACCAAACAGTTTCTGTTGTTAGGAAATATTGACTTTTGCCCGGGTGGCGGCCGAAGCCTACTCTTATCGATTTTAGATCACCAAGGGATCTTTAACGTGCGCAGCTTGCACACAGGACCTCTTAGAATGTTTGCCCTTGTCCGAGAAGGCTAGGTATAGATCTTCCCTACCAGAAGATGGGGGGAGGAGGGGGGGTGGCTGAAAGAAAGCAGTAAAAAAGAGAACAGAGGAGGTGAGGGGGTGGGGGCAGAAAGTGGAGACGAAAGCAGACGACAGAACATTTCTATAGAGCAAGAACGGAGGTGAAAGGAGAAAATTTTAGAGAAGAAAATGTTTCGGTCGCTACCCAGATTCGAACCCAGGACCTTTGAATGAGAGGCGAACACCTTAACCTCTAGGCCACCAGAGCCCTCTCATCATCTTTTCAGGACAGCTTACACCGCAAATACAACAGACCTGGGATGACAAGTTAAGGCTTGTTCTTATCAGCAGAGAAAAATGTTGCTCTGGAAGGGGATTTTTTTTCAAAAGAGGTAAATGGGATAAAAATCTGGGTGGTGTGGGGGCGGAGACCTAGAAGCGAGATCTAAGAAAGAAATCATTACTCCAGCTCTTGGACACTGATGATGTTTACATGCCACATTTTCTGGTAGTGACATTTTCTTGTGTTAGAAAGAAACTGATTCAGATGGCAGTCGTTGCCATAGAGACACCAGCTATCTTCGTTATTAGATTGAAGAATAACAACGTTAGTCTTGCATCGAGCTGGGTTCATTTTTTTTACATTGTGTAGTTTCTACTCCCACAAATGTATAAGCTGTGGGGATGGGTTGAGTGGCTTGCCTTGTCGCAAAGCCTGAAATAGAAAAGATTAAAGACTATAATAATTGTTTACTTTTTATGAGACTGCAAAACCACACTTTCTAAAGTACATCTTTACTGTATTTCATTTTTTTACTATGCTCATGTAAGATCTTGACAAGCCGTATGGCCCCAACCATAACAAATGATATTAAAAACTAATTTATTTTGATTTTTTTTACAAATCTTTCTCACCTCGTATCGTAACAGTAAAATCAGAACAAGCCAGACTGCATCAAAATGATAATATGAATTTTTCATTTATCTTGTTCCTTATCACTACCTCAGCAGGCGTCCAGCCACACAGCAGTTATCGTAACGACTATTGCGCTGATAAGGGGAAAGGAATAAGGCCTTGTTGCTGTATTGGTAAAGGCAAGAAATATGTAGAACAGTGCTTGCAAAGCTGGGTGACATCGTCCACTAGTGGGCGAGTTGTTACTTTTGGTG